AGCTTCCTTTAAATGAATTATCTCTGTTGTTTTGTAGAAACTATAGATAAGTCTGCACTAAAAGGTCACTGAAGTTATGTGAATCAAGCAGTTGTATTCTTATGAAATACAACATTCTGGTGCTAGCTACTTCCTTGTGTCAGAACTGAAACGTCAAGAACAAAGCTCTTATATTTTAATGCGTTTTTCAAAAAATAACTTACAAATAGAGCCAAAACAAGCCCACACTTTTTAAAAAAGAAACCTGTGTTTGTTGGACAGTATGGTGCCACTTTGCATGTGAGACTTAAACCTCAATGCGAAAATTTACAAAAGAACTGGAGGCATTCATATCGCACTTGGAGAAGGGTATTCATTCCAAGGCTCTCCTCCCATGAAAAATATGCCTTTGTAATATTTTCAAAACATGAACTAGTGCGACCAAAAGCAATCTGAAGGGCTTTGTTATGCACTTAGCAGTTGAGCTGAAAGGTTTAAAAAAGGCAATATAGCCTAAATACTGTGAAAAGTAGAATTAAAAGCATTAGTCTCAGCACAAAAAGACAATGTCAGAGAGGGGATAAGGAAATGATCACTGCGATGCTACAAGGCTGGATATCCTAGTGAGTGGGTTTAAAAATACAGTGAAGGAAGAAAGAGCAGGAAGTGATTTATTAGTATAATTTGCCATAGAAATAAATACAGTAAGGGAAGAAAGTGCAGGAAGTGATTGATTAGTATAAATCGCCATAGAAATGAACAAATACTAACCTCCTGGGGTTGTAAAATACAGGGCACTAACCCAGTCTGCCAAGAGTGTCGCTGGCTGAGCAGCTTTTGATACAGTTTTTTTCTGACCTGTTCAAAATGGGTGTATGAAAAGCAAGAATACACAAATGGTTTTGTCACTGTGCCATGTTCTCCTGCACAGATGCAAACCTGGGAATTGGAAGAATTGTGAATGCGTAAAGAAAATATGAGATACTCTTCGTTTATCTGTACTCAATGTTTATTTTGAATAGCTGTTGGAGGTTTGGACTTCTAAATAATTTTCGTTTCAGTGATGCTGTTTAGAAATTGTTCTTCATTTCAACTTGCCATTGCCGCAAGAATTTACAGTTCTCCCATTATGATGGTATTTTCTTATTTCAAATTTATACAGAGAAATGTAAATTTCTGATTTATTTATTTTAATGTTTATGCTTATTTTATGTTTACATATGCATGGATTTCTGTAATATACTCTTTCTTCTATCCCTAAATTAAATCAGCAGTCCATCTTTGCTAGGAAGATGCTTAACTTCATCAAGCATCCTATAAACACCTTTATAAACCTGGCTTCTAACAAAGTTTCCTAAACACAGAGAGTAAATAGCGGTTAGTTTTATATAAAATGCTGAATTCAAGTATTTTTTGAGGTGCTTGACATCTTGCAGATGATCCTCAGCACCACATAAAAATAATTTATATAATATCGCAAAAAAAAAAGGAAGATGAGTGCCAACAGTGTGCTCCTTTTACAGGCATATTTTATTAAGTAATTGCCATCCCTATCTTTTTTCTGATAGCTTCACTCTAATGTTTCTATTTAAGTGACGTATTTGTCTACCCTTCATTCTCAGTCGTAACTTGTGTTCAGTACACCAGTCAAAAAATGGTTATGGTCTTTCAGTCTCACGTTCTACTACCACTGCTTGAACCGTCAGGCTGGATTATCTGAAAAGGACAAAAGAATGAGTTCGGATGTGTACTCACACCATGTATTCTTCATGAAAAATGATGTTTCAGCATTTAGGAGAGCTTCACAGAACCAAAAGATGATAATGAAATAAACTTCCAGTGATAGATTAGACAAGATTAGACTAATTGTTACTATGTCATCAGCAGAGATAAATAAAAAACTAGAACTTGCCTACTGGGTTTGCCAAAATATTTTAGAGGATATTTTGCACAAGACAAAAGTGATAGAAGTCAAGTTGGCTAAGGACATTTAAGTCTAAATACATGCATTGAAATCTGTCAACTCCCTAGCTAGTTCTATACTTTGTTTTCCCATATTTGTTGTAAATGTCTTGCTCCAGTTAACCTTAGTTCAGAGGGAATTTAAGGTTTCTGCACTTTTGAAGAAGTGTGAGTAGTCGACGCGTGTAATTGAGATACATGGCCCTTCAGACTGAAGGCAAGTACTTTTCATTTGAGTCCAGTATGTGAATGTCTTTGTACTCTCAGCGGCAAAATTAAAAAATTATGAGATAGGAATTAAAAAGCTCAAACATTTTGTGGGGAAGCTCAAACATTTCCCTTGTGGGAAACAAAGAGGAAAAGAGAAATCTAGATACCTAAATAAGTCGATTCTTTCTATTTGCATGTAAGATTACTGAGTGTTTAGAACAGACATGGGTCATATTGCAAGCTGTTCTTCCACAAATTCACATAATCCCACATAAACTTGGGACTTCAAAAAATATCTGTTGTGGCAAGTCTTAGGACAAGAACAGGAGACAGGCTCACAGTTCTCTGAGGAGACTAGGACTTAAGCAGGACTCAGTGACTGAAAATGGCCGTCCTTTTTCCCTCATAGGTCTGCTGCAGATCTTCAGCATCGTGTAAGGATCTGCTATTCTGGTGTTTGAAGTACTGTCTATAATTATTTAATATAGCTTCCCATGTGCTAAATATTATTATTATAAAGCCTTGTGTAGGTGTTTGGAGAGGGTTAAAAGCTTCAACAAAGTGTTCTGAGGATCAAGACACAGCAGGTGTGGAGCTTCATGGACTGGTAATTGGGTGGTGGGTGAACACAAGCAGGAAGTGCAGGCAGCACGTAGGTGTGCTGTTGATGAGGGGATAGTACAACTGCTGAGGTAGTACGCTGGAGCAGAGACAAAGGGAACTTGTTTTTTCAGCTGTGCACCAGTATTACCTTGCTCATATGCCTGGCACCCTCTTTTCCCCATCCCTTCACACAGCCTGTGTCCTTCCTGTTTCTTTTTCATTTTGTGAAAAACAAGCACTGTCCTTTCAAATGCCCTGCCTGCTCTGTCCCTTGGGAGAAGTCATGCTTGGACCTCTTCCTCCGGGCACTGCAACTACACAGAAAGTTATAGTCTGGGGCAAAAGATGGACGGGAATATAAAACTCCCAATGCTGTGCCTGAACAAAATAATAAAAAAAAAAAAAATAGAAAAAAGAATATTGACTAAATGTTTCAAATGAAAAGATTTAAATTTGCCTCCTGTATT